CAAAGGAGTTCTTGGTCTTCAAGCTCCAAAGCTGACCCACCCGAAGAATTAACTGAAGAACAAAAGAGGATCTGTCCGCAGTTTCTTGGCCATCCTCTTCCGAAGCTTTTGATCCGTCGGCTAAGCTCTTTCCGCGCTGGCAAGGCAAAATCATTTCTTACAGCTCAAGCTTTCCGAGCCACTCCTTCTGTGCTGTCTCCCACTCCCATTCCGGAACCAAAAATAGCCCCAATCGACAAGGGCTCTTCTCTCGGGACCCCAGATGAAATTCCGGAAGAACCGCTTCCAACTCCCACTCCGGAATTCATCATTGATGAAAACATGAAGATGGTCATTGATGCGCTTCAAAGAGACAAAGGGAAGAAACCAATGACTTCCGAACAACAAGCCTTCCACTCCGGACCTCCTCTCAAACAAAAATATGGATGGTCTCAGGAGGAAATTTATAAGGCACTAGAGGACAACATCCGGATTCAAGCCTTAAAAGACAATCTCGATCCGATGCGTGGCATCTCTCCTCTTTGTCGTGAAGGCATCCTTCAAGCACAGGAAATCATCCTAACACTTTACTATGACCTTCCCACAAATGACACTGATCAACTGGATCTTCCTCTCTCTCCTTACATCAAATTCTACACGAAGTTTGCTCCGCTCCACCCAACCGATAATCCGGAAGTGATCGTCCGGACAGAGCGTGAAAGGCTCAAAACCTTTTATGCAAAGAATGCTCAACCCTTCAAGGAAGTATGGACAAGGAAGAGGGTCACCAAAGTTCAAGGCTTTGGAAGAAAAAATTTAGTAAAATTTGAGCTGAACTGTCCTCTATTCCGTTTCTATCTCCTCCGGAACAAGCCAACTCCCCGGACCGTTAGTGATGCGGATTTTCCTTCAATGAATCCGAACGACATCCTTACCCTAGCTGCTTACTTCAGAGAAAATCAAAAGTATGACATCAGTATGGGTGCTTACCACGCAATTCTCAGCTTTCTCAAAGATTATGTTGCTGAATTCTGCCGATGTGATTACGAACTTGCACACCTCTACGGAACCGAACAATTCGTTGCCAATATCGACTTTGTTCTTCCGGAAGCTGAAATTCTTGCAGATGGTCCGATTGAAGAACCGGTTCTAGGGTTTGTCTACACCACTAGAAGAACAAACAAGAAGGACTTCTTCCGAGTCCTTGATAAACACCTAGTACCGACCAAAGCTCTGAAGAAGTTCATATCCCGGGCGTCCAAGTCTGATGCTCCGGAACAGGTTAAAGGCAAAGTTTGTAAGTCAACTGGCTTGGTACATTGCGGTGCGATAATGGTTGTTCAGAGCATACACCTTCATCAAGGAAGAAATGAACTAAGCCTGCTGGATTGCTAAGTTAACTTAGGGGGAGATTGTTGGAACCTGAAAGTGAACCTCTAGCAATCCTAAGTACATATTCCAAAGTGTGTTGGTTCCGAAGGGAAAAGTGATCCGGAACCTGTCCGGAGATGAAGAGAAGAAGAGGAGGAGTATTTTGAAGAGGAACACATTCCGGAGCTGATCCTGATGTCCGGAATGTATGCTGATCCAGATCAAACTTTCATCTCCGGAATAATACTTGTCCGGAATGAAGTCATTTTGTCTTTTGTGCATTTATTACTTTTTGGCTTGTATTTGATGTAACGCTTCATAGGACTTAGTCTAAAGTTGTTTTAGGACAATCAGAATGTCAGACTTATGTCTTTTGTCCGGTCTTATGTAAACACCTGGGTTAATTCGCTGTAACATTCACTCCTTTAAATAGGAGCTTTCAATACAAGTCAAAAACAGATCTTTCACTCACTTTTGGCATTTAGTCTTATCATATTTAAAACGTTCTTCTTGTTCTTCATTTATTAACTTTACCTTCATCATTGACTACCTGCTCTCAATTAATGTCTTGATCATTTGTTGAACTGATTATCTAAGACTTGACTGGTCTTTCCAGTCTAGACTTGAACACCCATTAGCAAGCAGACATTGATCTCAAGCATTCACTCAATGTTTGAGTTTTCAAACCATATATGGATACCCAAAAGATCAAACACAAAGGAAAAAAATTCTTCAAAACCAAATGTCGAAGCCCCTGTTTGTGTCAGTAATAAATATCTTAAAGCTGATTACAGATGGGTGCCCAAAAGTCATGCGGCCCAATCACCTCACCGTCCTTTAAATTCGTCATGTACATTATTTGATTCAAAGGATATGGTATGGCAAGAAGTTTCATGTGTAGATGGAAATGGTCAACCCAGTGTTAGATATGGACTGGGTTTCCAAATCTAACTAATCTCGCACATTGTGTAGGAACAGCTGTGGAGGAATATCATCGGACCTTGGTATGTTGATAGTGGTTGTTCCAGGCAGATGACAGGAGAAATATGAAATACAAAAAATTTAGGGGGAGAAATCAAAAATACAAAAAAAATTATAAAATCAAAAATACAAAAAAAAATTATAAAATCAAATAATTCAAAAAATATGTCTTCTTTCGTAAGTGTTCTTGGGAAGTGATATGAAGTTTAGTGTTAAAGGGAAATATGAAATACGTGTAATGCACTGAAGCTGAATTGTTTAGACTCTGTGTTCAATGTGCTGGTAGGCACGAAGGATTCAAAATGAAAGGACTAGACACTGTTGAAAATGAAAAGACTTGACAGTGTTAACTTATCTGGACTTAGATAGTTACATTTGGACTGACCATACGACGCTTGGATAGATTGACCAGTGAGATAAACAAGGGAGTCTGCGAGATACGTTAAAGTTACTTATCATCTAGAACTGTGGCTCAACACTTCTTCGACGTACGAACTTATGTCATTAATTCTGGTGCTGATAGGGTGACTGAGGGGTTCTGATAAAGTAGGTCTGTATGAAATTGTTTTTCTTTCTTATCCTCTATGTCAGTCATATGTTGCCCCCTTTGCGTGATTGGAAGAGATCCGACGTGGGATGCAACATATGCATCTCTATTTCTATGCATCTCTATTTATGCATCTCTCTATCTATCTATGTCAGTCATATGTTGTCCCCTCTGCGTGATTGGAAGAGATCCGACCTGGGACACAACATATGCATCTTTCTATCTCTATACCCCTCTATCTATGTTAGTCATATGTTGTCCCTCTGTGTTATTGGAAGAAATCCGACATGGGATACAACATATGCATCTCTATATCTAACTTCTCTCTCAAATAATTGAACACTCACCTAAAGTAAAGAGCTCTTTGGAATTCCTTGATTGCTAGGGTATGTCGTGAAGCGGGGAACACGTTCTAGTGCGCTTAAAATTGAATTCGTTCAAGACTAAAGGTTGACTGTAGATCTTGCTGCTGAATTTAAGTGGACCACAATATTGGTGATTGACCAGAGTTATCAATGCAGGTGTGTGCAGATAAACGATATTAAATTGCTTGACAACTTTTGATCCCAAAGATTTTAAATTTAGTTGTTAAAATGTGTTTGTTTATTTTATTTTATTTTTTGTTTCTAAAATTTTTATTTTTATATTATTTTTATTTGGCATTTAATTTGCAATCATTTTAAAATTTTTAATTTTAATTTTATTTCATTTTTTTTAATCTAAGAAACGAATTGTTTATTGGATTCTCTTTTGGGGCCCATTGAATTCGGTGGGCCAAGGGCCGAGAACCCATTTTAGGGGTTAATAAGTTTTTTTTGTTTCATTCTCATTACCACCGCTGAAATCAACCTTTTTCTCTCAAAACCCTAAGCAAAATCCCTCACTGTTCACTATTCATTTGCTTCATCCTCTTTCTCGATCCAATTTATCTATTTTTCATTGATTCTTTGAAATTTTTACTAGGTATATGGATTCCGAGTAATATGCTTTAAGTTTTATGCCTTTTCTTGGAATTTTTTGCAGGTTTTCAAAGGTTTTCCGGTGAATGAACGGTGGTTCTCCGGAGAATTTGTCGAGGGTTTCAAAATTTAAAACGTCGGGTTTTCGGTTTGACCCGGGTCTGACCGAAATCGATCGAATTTGACCCGGATCCGACCGAAACAGTTTAATCTGACCGAAAACGGCATTCTTTGACCGAAATTGCTATGCTTTGACCGAAATCGCTATGTTCCAACCGAGATCATATGCTTTTAACCAAAATCAACATTTTTGACCAAAATTTGAATTTTTGAAAAAATAAAATTTTAATTTTAATTATTTATTGTTCTCACAAGGCTCGTTTGGTGCAGATAAATGGCGGATCAGTTGAAGTTTGTTGATTCTCACAATATCGTTGGATATCTCCTGGATCCACCTGCCGCACACAATGAATTCAAATCCATGATCGTGGGTTTGAACAATTGCAGAATTTCCCACGCTCTACGTATCAATCCAATCATACGCAAGGACCTGATTAATGATTTCTGGAGGAATGCCTCGTTCAACTGTGCAGGAGCGGATGGTGCTGGTGCTATTGAATCCTCTGTAAATGGCAAGCAGATTGTTATAACAGAGCAAGTCATTCGGGAAGTGCTTCAGTTCGGAGATCAGCCTGCTTTCCCAACAGAACTCCCTGCTGCCAAGATCATAGAAGTTTTAAAGAAAATGAATTACAAAGGAATTTTTCCTCCAACAGTCAAGAAGCTACTTCCCCCTTACTGGAGATTTTTGGCTCATACTTTTGTTAGCTGCATCTCTGGAAGAAAAGGCAGGTCGGACGAAATAAGCCAAACAGCAACGTCAGCCTTTGTGGCACTAACAATGGACTGGGAGTATAATTTATCAAAATTTGTTTTTGACGAAATGAAGAGAAACCTTTCTGGGAAAAAGAATGATATTTTCTTAATGTATCCTCCATTTTTAAAAATGATCTTTGATGTCATGCATCCCGAGCTGGAAAGGACCCCCGATACTCTAGATGTCAAATCTCTGGGTCCAAACACCTTTGGACTCATGAAACAAGTACGAAAGCATCAAATGTTGTTTTCAAGGGAACAGAAGCACTGCTGGTTTTCCAATTGCTATGGTGGCCGAGAAACATGTGGCGCCATCAAAATCAAATCTCAGTTTTTCGTTTGAGGTTTCTGATGATGATGATGATGTTAATGATGATGATGATGATGAGCATTTTCGTATGTTTGAACCATCGAAGGAGCCGGTCAATGAGGCTGTGATTTCTCTAGCTGAGACAGAGAAAAAAATCAACATTTTCAAGCAACCAAACGATCCAACGCCCGAACAGATGGAAGCCCTTATTGAACAATCACAATCAACTACGAGGAAGCCTCCCCAAGCAGTTTCTGTTACTACTGAGTCTCCATCTGGGAGTGATAAATACGATTCAAATGCCTCCCTGATGCCAAGAAAGCGAAGGCGTAGAGATCCAAGGCGGGGAGTGCTTATTACTGAACCAGTACAACAGCCAACTTCAAACGTTAAACCAGCCCAAGTTAATCGAAATGATCAAGATGATCTAAGCCCAATTGTTGAGCCAGCCCAGTCAGTCCCTTTGTAAGAGATCGTAATTTTGAAGCAAGAGTCCATTGAGAAAGTCTTTCTGATTGGCAATTTGGATGTGAGAGTTTCTGAGCTTGAAAAGGAAAATTCTCAAAAGAGTAAGCAGACCTCAGACCTTCAAGACAATCTTGGCGGGCTGACAGCTTTCTATTTTTATCTCAAAGACAAATTAATTGGAAAATTTGGTGATGAGTTCAAGACTTCAGGTTCTGATGATGGAAATGCTTCAGAGACATCTGAAAAAGTCATGGTTCGTCCTGCCCCAGATTCTAACCTTGATCAATTTCTGTTTTCTGGCCCTGTCACAGCTGAAGAAAGAAGGGAGAAGCAGAGAAAAGTTGATAAGCTAAAGAAAGACAAAATGCTTCTGATGAAAAACTCTGATCAGAATGCAGCTGGTGATCACCCAAAGATGTTTATCAAAGAAATTGGAAAGAGAAAATTTGCTAACAGATATGGTGATCATTCTGGAATTCGTATGTGGGGATATGAAGCTAATAAGAAGATGTGGATTGTAAAGCGAAAGAGCGGAAACATTGAGTACTATGAGAAGAAGATTGACTTTGTGTCTTGGAAAAAAGTTGATCTTGCAGAGGTGGTCCATGCACCGTTCCACAATCCAACAAATGAACCCATGGCATGGGCGTTTAATAATTTCCTGGAAGACAAAGTGAAGCAGAACATTGAAGGCTTGAAAACAACGTCATCGTTCGTTAAAAAGGCCAAGGGTGTCATTGATCCCCACACCAACAAGACTATGGTGAATGTTATGTGGCCGCCTACAAATAAAGCTAAAAGGATCCCTATCACTCAGCGTTTATCTTCTGGCTCTTTGAATGATTTACTATATTGGGTATATGATGAGGCTACAGCTACTGTCGTAATGAAGATGAAAAAGATGAAATTCGTCTTCTTGATCCTAGGGATTTTCTGAAATTTGGCGAGCATGACATTCATACTTTATCCCAACATCAGATTATGGTGGAAAATGAAATGTTTGAAGCTGCTACAAAGGCTTTCACCGGTATGATAGCGACAATCATTAATAAGAGGTTGTGGGCAGGAGCATTGGCTGATTCTGATGTTCATCTTGTGGAGAAGCCGTAAAGTCAACCAGCAATAGCCAGCAATAAACCAAGGGGGAGATTGTTGGGTCATATTTAAATGGTTTATGATGGGCTTATAGTTTATTATTATACTTGGGCTTAGGTATACTTATGTTAGTGGGCTTATGGTGTTTTCGGTTATGGGGACCGAAATCACATAGTGATTTCGGTCAGCTTGGGCTTGGGCCTGTTAAGGAATTTTACTAGGTTTATATATATATAATATATATATATATATATATATCTATATATATATATTATATATATATCTATATCTTTTTAGCCGTTTAGGAGTTCTAGTTGTTGATCTTTTATTGTATTCGGCTGTTAAGAAGGTCTTTGTGTACCAGACGATTTCATCTAATAAATCGTGTGCATTAAGAGTTATTTGTGTGTTCTTGAATCACTATATGATTTATATTCCGCATTCTTTAGATAATTTTGATTGATATCATATCGATCTAAGTGTTTTGGGACTTACAAAATGAAAACTCGATGACTTGATAATCAAAATGAAAACTCGATGACTTGATAATCAAAATGAAAACTCGATGACTTCAAAAACCCTGAAATCATCTTTAAAAAATCACAGAAATCGTCTTAAAAAAGACCCAGATCCGATCTTCAAAACAACCCAGAAATCGTCTTCAACAAAGCCGTATTTTTCTTCAAAAAAAATGTCTTTTTCTTCAAAAAAACGCAAACATCGTCTTAAGTAAAACCCAAATTTCATCTTCGTACCTAATTGATGAAACAAACATTAAAAACAAAGTCCGAAATCAGGAACAAATATAAAAAACCAAAACAAAAATCAAAAAGAGAAGGAAGAAGAAAAAAGAAAGAAGAAAAAAAGAGCATGATCATTGAAGGAATCGTTGAACATTAAACAAAATGCGATTTACAAATGCACTTGAATATTACGAACATCGATTTCACATTGGTGGGAAAGAAGGCGACCCTTGGAAAAAGACGTTGCCTCTTCGATTTCACGTTGTTGATGCTTGGGTTTCCTATTCTAGTGATTTGGAGTACGAATTTCACTATTGGAGGCTTCAATTTTACATTTGGACTCTTATATGGAATGATCTGACCCACATGAAGGCGTCGGTTTTAGCGGAGAATCTTTGTGGTTTCAATTGTAACATCCCGTTTAAAATAAAATAAAATAAGTAAATAAATAAATTAATAAATAAACCCTAAAACTCTGAGATGTATTTTTATATTTTTATGTTAGCCCTAAATCCGTAATCATTTGTCAGAGTATTAGCGCAAGGAGTTGAATGTTATAAGTTCTGGAAATCGGGGGGTTAAAGTGTAACTTTCAGACTAGTTATGAATAGAATTGTGGAAGTTGGGGGCTGTTTGGTAATATTGGACTTAATCTGAAAATGTTATGGTGGTAGGGGCTAAAAGTGAAAAAAATGGATTTAAGTTTGAAAGTTGGAGGCAGGACTAAAACCTGTCACACCCCCCTCCTCCCTTGGCCTCTCATTTAAACAAACCCAAACCCTAACCCTAATATATTCTCCAGCCGCCACCCTTATACCTCCAATCTCCAGCCGCCGCTATCTCCTTTTTCGCCGTCGTGAACCACCGAGCAACCACCGCCGCCGCTGCTGCCGACGAAGACGAGGATCAACGAGACTGACGTCGTGACAGGAGGGAGGTTGAAAGAACTGAGCTCATGGCCGATGTTGCCTATCTCCGGTAAAGGTGCAACCCCCTCCCACCCTCTTTGCTTCTTCTGTTGATTCATCGCGTCCCACCGCCGCTCTGTACGACTATCCCTTCTTGCGGTCATTCTTCGACTGCCGCATGCCAACACGAGGGTGGCTGTGTTCGTGTTTTGCGAGTGTGGGTGTGTGTTGCTACTGTGGCAAGTTGGAGAGGCATGTGTGTGTGTTTTGTTGGCCGGAAAAACGAAGAGAACCACCATGGCAACCAACCATGGTGGCTGCCGCCTTGCTTCCATTTTTGTCACCACAGCCACCGTGTGAGGTGGCTGTGTGCTTGTAATATTGTGTGTATGTGTGTTTTCTGCGTGGTTGTTGTAGTCGGAGTTGTTTGGTCGGATTCTAACTCGAAACCGCCACCATCGCTGCGAGTAGGTGGTTGTTGCCGCCGACCACCACTGCCTGAGGTGGCGGTGGGTGGTGTCCGACTTATTAAACATTATATTACCTAAGCATCTAACCGTAGACTGAGTGACACGTGTTTGGGTTGGAAACCCTAATTAGGATTTAGAAAACCTTAATGTCAAGAAAACCCTAGTTTTGGAGTTTTGTTGGGACCCGTGTTGAATCGTTAATTGGACTTCAAGTATACTCAATAATGCCCTACGATTAGCTTAATGCAGTATTGGACTTAATAAATTAAGTCCTTAAGGGGTTAAGTGTGGAACATTAACCCTAGTTATCATTTGATGTGGAAACCCTAGAATCGGGAAGCCCTATTTTGGACAATGATCGGGGCGCGTATTTGGGCTATTGCTTGGATTATTATTATACATGAGAATGACGAGGCCAAACCTTAATCAGATCTACCCTTAGGTGGTTAAGTCCTTAATGGGTTAAGTGCCCTTACTTAACCCTAATCGTCATTTTATGTAGAACCCTAATCGTCATTTCATGTGAGGTAGTCACTGTTGCATGTGACTATGACCTGTGATCGGGTATTGACTCAAGTATCCTTCTATAGGTGATTGGAAGTGAGTGGAAGCTAGTAGAGTTCTTCGTTAGTACGGTGGTTACCTACACCCATATCGAGGTGGGTTTCGCCTCACTATACCCGTGGTCAAAGGCACCAATGTCGGCCCACTAACTTAGGTTATCTATTAGTAGAGGGATGCCTTAGAGACTGTATATAGTCATGTAGGATAGACTAAGGAATCTTGATCTAGGATCTTTTACATGTTCCCTGTTTGGTTGTGGTTCTAGAGTAGGATCACCTATCCGGGTGGCTATCTCACATCTGAGTATATACGTCCATGCATTCATTGGATTATTGATATTTAGTATGCTATTATGTTGTAGTGATCTGTTAGATCTGTATCCTGGTATCGAGTATGCTGTTATGTTGTAGTGATTTGTTAGATATGTATCCTGGTATCGAGTATGCTGCTATGTTGTATTGATTTGTTAGATCTGTATCCTGGTATCGAGCATGTTGCTTTGCTATAGTAATCTGTAGAATTGTATGTTATATGTGCTTGCTAGTTATCATATATGGAGTGCCCTTAGGGATAGCCTGAGAACTCTTGATCTAGGCTTTCTTGCATGTTCCTTGTTTGGTTGTGGCTCTAGAGTAGGATCATCTGTTCGGGTGGCTATCTCACATCTGGTTACTTATGGTTACACATTTCATGGAGTTTAGTTGGTAGCGGGACTGTATGTTGTGCGAGGACTGGTAGGCCGTAGTGAGATGTATGATTGATGTTGCCTGTATTATGTGCCTACTTGATCCTTAATTGTTTACATGTCGACATGTTATGTTTGGTTTGGGTTGAGGCGGTCCTGCTTTGTGTTGTAGGCCAAGATACTTGGTGCGGGCCGGCTGTAAGCCGTAGGCACAGAGGCTCAGGATGAGCGGTTGGGTCGAGGCGGTAAGGCCAATAAGCCCGATATAGTTGGGCATTCCAGTCCGATAACTGATTGGGCCCGTTGCTCGTTTATTTGTTTGGTTATGTGTGGTGTTTTGGGGAAAACTAACTAATCGCTATGCTTATCCAGTTGTTTATTGTTTCAGGTATCATCAGTGACTATGGGAAGGCAAAGGCGGGACAATACACACTCATGAGCAACATTGAGGATTCCGCGTTTTATATAATACTCTGATTTTAAGAAATGTAATTTGGAATAAACAGTTTTTCTTAATAATGGATTTATAAATTGGA